AATGTCAGACGATTTTTACAGCAATACATTAAGAATCCTTGTCGGCGTTTATGTTGTTTCGGTTATTTTATTTCCCCATCTGCATCAGTGAGTGAGTAAGTGAATGTTGTGTGTACCGGCGACATGGCTTGGTAGCTTTCCGGGCCAGACGCACCAGTGGTTGACAGCATGAACAACGATCCACACCGTCTGAGTACGATGAGACACAATCAGCCAGTCACCACACTATCCTCAGTTTTGTACTCTTTCCCTTTTGTCCCACATCGCGATGATATATATTTAATACAACTTTTGAAGGGCTACCCGTGTGAACATGAATGGAAGTCAGACTTAAAGCTGTCCTGATCAAAATTAGAAATAATAATTAAGAATCAACCAGACGTCTAAGACCACACGAAGATGAACAGTTTGATATTACTACTGGAAGCAATATGCGAACAAGTATAAGTGATACATGAGCAGGTGAACACTGACCAAACCTATCACAATATTATTGTGTGTTTGTTTCTTGTTTAACGCTGCACTCAATAATATTCCATTTACATGGCAGGGCTCTCTAAATAATTGAACCTGGACCAGACACCATGAGAATCGTTCTACCAAGATACATGTTACAATGGTCACAGATCACCATCAAATGTCAATAAATACAATGTAAGTGATGCTATGGTATCTGATTGACCACAGACCTAAAACACGTAAGGCCATGGTCACGGATTCCTGATTAACTCGAAATAGAGTAGGTCGGGGCTTGTGTTAATAATGCTCGTGTATTATTGTGCTGAATTACACAGTGTTCACATCTGGTCTTACGTTATTTATTTCCATAAGACATAACATAATGTATCCAATCTCAACACGAGCAGATGACGGTGGACGCTTGAAACAATGCGTCGATTTCAAAGCGAGTAGAATGTGGTATCAGAGCTATGTGAATGTTCCAAGTCATAGTCAACGTCAGCTAGCGGAACGTCGCGACTGTACTGGCGTACTGTACTACGTGTTACTGGCGACAATGATAGTGGTACTAAATAATTGGAATTTTTGATGCCCTGTGATTACAGGTAGGATAGGTACCGTGTTGACCGTGTCCTGCGTAACAGGTTTCTAACAACACTTTTAAAGGATATGAACACTTTAGTGATGCAAACAGTCGTGTTAACATGGCCACGAGATGGTAGCATTCGTCTCTTCCTCGTTCTCCTCGACATCAGTTCGTCCGCCGCTGACACCACGTCATTAAAGGCTCGTTTGCCTTAGCGCCGACGTCATCAGCGTTGACATCAACATCATTGAGGGTAGTTTCCGTTCTCAGATGAGAGCAGATTGAATTGATCTTCCCATCATGGTTGGGTTAACCATCGTATTATAGGATATGGCTAAAATTTACGTCCTCACTTATTACACCGCAGATATAATATTCATTCTCATTAATTTTCAAAAACAAGGACGTCAAGCCATCTTTTACTATATCATATTTTACTGGAATATGTTTGGAATTTGCATACCTTTTACTGACAACAAAACAGATATTGATAAATACAAAAATAGACTTCCGCTTACATTATGCTAACTATTCGTTTATCCTCTTGATATATATTATTCATATTGCGTTATGCAATCATTATACAACATTATGTTGACATTTTTCAAGATGAATCACACACAACGCAAGCTTTCACAGTCGTAGCTCGCATCAAATCAATTGCATTGTTCGTATGTGGAAATCTTATTAGCTGGGAACATATAGTTCCGCTTTTCATAAAGTAGGCATGAATTATTTATTGAATTTAGATCAAAATATGGATAATCCGCATATGTAACATGTTATCCAGTCGACTGGTTAACCGGATTCTCGTTCGTTCCCGTTGCAGCTTGAGCAATATCGTACCGAGTGCAATTGCTACATCGGCAGTTTGTTTGTACTGCAAAGTAATGTGTCAGTGTGTCACTTTAAAGCGGGGCGGACAACCCAGCGCAATACAGGTGGTGATGTTTATCGCCTTGGTAAAAACCTCCAGCAAAGATTCTTCCGATTCGAAACCAGCAGATCCTGGCACGACAAAGGGACGTAGCCCCACACAATATATGGCGATGTGTCATAGTTCTGTCAAATTTCGTTCATATTTTTTCATCAGAGAAGAGGTATTTATTGTCTTCCGTTGTCCCGCGTGTCGGACAATAGTAAAATGTTGTCCATAGCGACTATAATAAAAATAAAAATAAAAATAATAAAAACAATAATAATAATAATGAAATTTAAAAAATTAAACAAAATTGTTGTCCATAGCGACTATAATAATAATAATAATAATAATAATAAAATAAAGTAGTAACTCAATTACATGTTTACATTCGAGTAATTTATAATTACAGCCGTTTTCTTCAGACGTTTTCAGTTTTCCGTCAGCTTCCATATCACTTGAATACCAGTAACGTTGCTTACGTACTGTTTCAAAATTATTACTTATCCGCTTACCAACAATGAAAATGGCGCCGGTTCGTCTTCCGCTTTCGGTTCTTTGTATGATTGTCCCAAACAGAACGATATCAACTTGGCAACAAATGATGTCGTTTTCCATCGAATATTCCAATATGTCCTTTCCAAGTATAGCCAATATTTCCTTTTACATTTACTCTAGGTAGGGGTTTCTATTGTCAAGATGAGGGGATAGATACGACTCTGTCTCACTACCATACAATTGCGGATTTTGCGTTAGAAGGGAAGAATCGGTCACCCCATGCTTGTCGTATAGCCCCCTAATAAGACTCGAGCCGTGAAGATTCGGGGTAGAATAGGCCCTCAACCCATGCTTGCCGTAAAAGGCGACTCTGCTTGTAGTAAGAGGCGACGAACGGGATCGGTTGATACATGTCATCGTATCCCAATAGCGTGGATCGATGCGCACGATGTCAATCACTGGATTGTCTGGTCCAGACTCGATTATTTATAGACCGCCGTCATATAGCTGTAATATTGCTGAGTGCGGCGTACAACAACCACAAACCAACCAATAAGCTTCGGGTTGTGTCAATATGTGACTTGGCTCGTCGTCTTGCATTGTGTTCTTTCTTTGTTCGTGTTATCAACCACTGGTTTGTCTGGTCCAGACTTGCTCCGTCACAGGCCACCGTGTAACAGTTGGAACACTGCTGATTGTGGCTTATACTGAGGCGTCGTGAAGTATGGCATTTGTCAAATTTATTCCGTATCTGATAAAACCTTATTTATCCTGGATATATTCTTAATAGTAGCTGTCCCATTATGGTTATTCTTAATAGTAGCTGTCCCATTATGGTTATTCTTAATAGTAGCTGTCCCATTATGGTTATTCTTAATAGTAGCTGTCCCATTATGGTTATTCTTAATAGTAGCTGTCCCATTATGGTTATTCTTAATAGCAGCTGTCCCATTATGGTTATTCTTAAAAGTAGCTGTCCCATTATGGTTATCTATATTTGTTTCCGGGGTAGAATAGGTCTTCAGCAACCCATGCTTGTCGTAAAAGGCGACTAACGGGATCGGGTGGTCAGGTTCGCTGACTTGGTTGATATACATGTCATCGATCCCAATTGCGCGGATCGATGCTCATGATGTCAATCACTGGATTGTCTGGTCCAGACTCGATTATTTACAGACCGCCGTCATATAGCTGGAATATTGCTGAGTGCGGCCTTAAACAACAAACAAACAAACAAACAAACAATATCTATATTTGTTTTGCGGTACATGGATCAATATTGTATTTCTGTTCACTTCAGCCATTGAGCGACATGCAAAGTCTGAACAACCCAATATACATCACACTGAAATTCCCGTTCCGCACAGGACACCAATGTTATAACTACCATTTAAGATGCATGTGTATAAAAACAACACGTGCGCCAAATAAAGCCAAAAATGTAATTATAAGCCTTGTTCGGTGATCAAGCAGCCCTTTGATTGACGACCGTTAACGCCTTAATGAGGAAAAACATCCCACAATATATATGTGCTGGAACTCGGTCAAATCCTTATTTTTTGGATCGAAACAAAACAAATAGGATTCCTTTAATTCATCAATAAGGGGGTGTTTCCTGCACTGAAATCCATATTGGTTTTGTTACATTCCGTGTTGATGAAGGACCGACAGTAAATTTAAACTAACTCGTCTGTGGTCACAGTCGAAGAAACGTGATTCGCTGTTTCTGGTAGTCTTTGTTTAGAACACAAGAACTGCGGTTCTCTTACAAGCTCGGCTGCATGATCGTATATACTGCCTTCGTCGTCAAGGGCGCCATATGGACTACACCGATCCCAGGTGATTTCGTAAATGAAACAATTTGTTGTAAATTAAATGGATTCGGTATATCTCTTGTGTAGCTGAATACTGTCCTATTTTTATCAGCTGATTAGATTGTCACAAACTACAATTGACGGGTCATAACAGTCTTTATTTGATCATCAAGCAGGCCACTGCTGCAGCTCTAGAGTCACGTGACCGCGGATCGATACAGTTCTTCTAATTACGTACGCTGCCTGACGCGGCAACAGAAGTGACACAGTAGCTTTGCGCCGCTGACATACAGATCCCTTTTTCAAGGGGTTCTTATAGCAGGCTTATAAGAGTAGACCTTGGTCAGTAGCGTTTGGCCGGTTGTGTCACCTTTGAACTAGCTCTGATATTACGGTTAAGAACTGGCCCTCGTGATAATGACTGTTCCTCGAGAGTTGCTATAGATCAATAGTGAAAGCTACGTAGCGCCTGCCTTCGTACTGGATGGAGAGAAAGCAGCCGCGCTGAGATTTATAATTGCAATGTGACTTGAAACAGCGCAAGGATCAAGTCTTTGCCTAACCATAGAGTCCATGTAAGAATAGGTCAAGAGGCTATTCCTGTCTGTTATGCTTATTCTTTATGTAGAAGCCTGTATTCTTGTATGTGGGCACAGTCGTGAAAATGTCAAACGTGCATGGGTAAGTTCTGTACATTTCATCGATGAAACCTTCTTTCTTTCAGTTCCCAGCCGGTAGAGATGGTTCGTATCGTCTTGAGGGAAATCTATTCCAATTGTGTTGTTAATCCTGCAACTCGTCTACCGACACCCTTGTGATTCGTCCAGTCCAGGGCTGGTTCCAACCAAAGACCAGACTTGTTCCAACGGGAACGAAGGGGGTCACTCTGGAAATAGGAGGGATATACTGTCATCAGCTCGTACTTACAGCGAACAGGAGTGTTTTATCAAAGGCGTCGCTGCTTCAGACACAGGGATTGTGATATTGTGACAAGAATCGCCCAGGCAACAAGGGCTCTTAATGACTTTAGCCCGGCCAATACCACACGAGGAACAGACGGCGATATAGCCCGTCAGTCAACGACAGGACAGGTGTCGCGAGGAAAAAGCCAATAGCATATGACACAGGAGCCTTGAGTGGATGTGTCTTGTGGATTACTGACTCCATAATAGAGTTTGTCTTCTCTGTTGCCCTATTGGCTAGTTTATTGCGTTTCCTTCCACTCAGGTCCCCGAGTTGACAGTCCACATGATGAAGGAGTCTTGTTGAAGTGACTGATACAATTATGCCATGATAAGGTTGCTTGAGTGCTTGTTAGAATATTTTGATAACGACGAATTACCAGGACAATTTCTGAGAGGAGATGGCGTTTTAGTTGCTTTATGAGGAACCTGAAGTGCCTTCAACGCCAGTCTTTGTGAGCAATGTTACATGTTGAGGATATCCCAGAAACTATCGTGTCTGACAACATTGGAAAACAAGTCAGTTGAAATTAGATAACCAGAAAAGGACATATTTATTAGATTGATTCTTTTTCTTTCCTGTCTCAGGGTTTAGATTGAGGACTACCGTGAAGTGCCAATGTGTGTAAAGAAACTATTTCATAACAGGTGCTTCATTGCCGTTGAACGCGTCAGAATTATAAAGACTTTGAGCCATCCACTCGCCATTCATACACGATCACATGAAACCTACGCATAGACGTATCACGTTATTCAATGAACCTGGCGAAATCCATTCGAGTTGATGCAGAGTGTTTAGCTTGCAGCGTGGCGATCCAATAGCTTGGCAGGCTTCGCGCTGTCAGGAATTCAGTTTATGTAACGGAAACTGTCGCCTGCTCTACCCAAAATAATTCAGTGGTGGTTGAAGTGCTACAAATGCACTGATCTGAACTGCGGTGTGTTAGAAGCCTCTGATTTTGTGTAACTGGAGTCGAGTTGGAGTCGAAACCTTTCCAGGTTCCTAATGTAATAAATGGGAGAAAAGTACTTGTCGAACACTCCACAAATGAAGTGAAGCACACATCATGCTGAACGTTGCTACCAAATGACAGACATCTGACTGCCAACTCCATCTTCCATACTGACAGACAACAAACCCAAACAGTCATGGCACTTGCAGAATCGAGAGAGACTTATATAGAACTAATTCTTCGATGGCTAATAGACAATAACAGTACCGAGGCAGTTGACTTCACCCAGCCGTATGTCCGGCGATCGCTCCGGTATGTGTATCCATTGTTTATGTTTCTCCATGCCGTTGTGGGCGTGGTCGGGATTGTCGGGAACATCATCATGCTGATTGTTCTGGGCAAGAGGAAACTGTACCACGACCAGACATTTTTCCTTCTGGGCAACCTGGCGTTTGCAGATCTCATCAAGTGTATTTTCGTGCTGCCAATAACACTAGCGAATTTGTTGATCCAGAACTGGCTCCTGGGAAGTTTTCTTTGCTTCTTCTTGCCGATGATGCAGTGCTTTCCCGTGTACGCTTCAATGATGACGTTTCTCATGATCGCCATAGACCGCTACAGAACCATAGTCCACCCCTTTAAATCTCGCCTCCCTGCAGGCTTGTGCACAATCGCCGTATGGGTAGTTGCAGTGTGTGTGGTGCTGCCGTTTGCCGTTTATATAAAGTACATTGATTTAGGGGCATCGTTGGGCGCTCGATTTAACGGTGTCGGGATCTGTTACGTGTATTTTGAGAGACGAATTGAAGAGTACATACGAGCAATGTTTGTTACGTTATACGCGATGCCTCTAGCCATTATAGCTTTCCTGTACGTTCGCGTATCTGCAGAAATCAAATCACGTGAGTCTGCTTCTATATCTATTCACTTTGCTTCCAACGGTAGCGACGTCCTTCGGAACATACCCGATCACTCTTACCAATCCTCGCTAGCCTGGCCGAGAGAGAACCGAGCGACGACGTCGACATCCGAGGTTGGTGCAACGGCCGAGCCGACCCCACCGCAGGTGAAGTCCTACAACGAACGAGCAACGCAAGACAGCGACGATGATTTGGATCTGGTAAAGGAAAAGCGAACCCAAAACTACCTAATTTCCATGACAACGTTGTTCGCGATGTGTTGGTGCCCTCTTCACATCCTGATCCTCGTGCACTACTTCGTCCACGAAAACGATACGAACCAGGACCATTACGACGTCACGTACATCACATTCACGTGGTTCGGTTTCCTCTCAACGTGCACGAATCCGATTCTCTTCGCATCTTGGAGTATGTCGAGCGCGACAAAAGATCGCCTCAGGGGTTATTTCCGGTTCAGCAACCGACGCCGTAGTGCGTCGTCACAGGTAAGCCGTACTGACGTCACCACCGTCCCTTGCACACCTCGTAGCTCCTCACGTCATCCCAGTCCTAACTCCGCTGAAGCTCGCCAGGTCTGAGTGGCACAAGGAAGGTGGGTTCAGCTCACGATACGCCGTGTTCGTAAAAAAAGGTCGTAAAACAAATTGATATGCATTGGCACAAGAAGTCATTTGACAAAGTACATATAATGAAATCCTAATTTCATCTTTTAAATACTCGGGGCATTTTTATTTTCCTATTTAAATGCAAATTGTATTTTCTGTTCATGACATAACATCATGTATTTTCAAAATTTTATGATACATACGCCGTGCAATATTAATTTGCCATTTCTGGGAGAGTTATTACGTCATTTGACGTTTACGCGTAATGTACTGGTTCATACTCACTGTACTCCTTAGGCAGTATAACTGTAATATTCGGATTAACATGCAGGCCATGTGAATGTTTCAGGTTTACATGTACGTTATTCTCAACCTTTTGGCTTCCCGTTGAAAATTCTTAAGATTTTGTTGATATTGAACAGAGCTTACCACTTGTTTGTAAAGAAAAAGCAATGGCATACAAAGCTATGTCGAATTGTGCAAATTTCAAAGCATCATTCTTGAGGAGAAGGTTCCCACTTTTCATCTTTTGGTAAACAATATCTGAAACACGATTTCATTAATTGCCATATAAACCAATTCATGAACGTTTTTGACACCTCACAATTCAAACAGCCAAAAACATTGCCGCTATAAGCACGGTAGACTTTTTTCGATCTCGAATGCCACGTCCTGTCAATATGTCACACCAGCGATGATTTCATATTATCTGACACAAACTAACCACTTCCAGTGTGCTATGACCTTTTTTTCCTAACCACGGCGACAGGTGTGCTGTTCTTTCTATAACATCTTGTGTATTCTTTTTCTTCTTTCTAGTTTCTTTGCAATCTCTAAGAGACATTGTATTCTATCATGTATGTATCTCATCAATGTGTCTCCACTTTGTGTGTACAAGCTTGGATCAATATAGCACAGGATTGATTGCTTTAAGTCATGCTAACGCTATGTACAGCTGTGCGCCGATACTAACATCAAGCCATTGAAGCGCTTGGTTGCTATGTTCTGTGTTAACAAGTTCTTATCAGAAATGATTTCAAAACGCAGTCATTAGCCTATCATTTTGTGGAGCAGAGCTAGTGTTTCTGACGTTATATCATATCTAGAGGCACTTTTGTATAATTCTAAGAAAATGCATCTATTGAATACTTTTCCGTAATAACATACGATGTCCGAGATTGATCCTAGATGGCGTGAATTCCATTACAATCATGTAATAAATGGCTAAGAAATAGATTTTGGATATCTACCTTGGCTCAGCGTTTCAGGTATACTTCTCCGGGAGTTGAGAAAGCACTATCGATGTACATGAGTCGTTTACCGGGATAATACGATGTCATGCGCTTTGCACATGTTTCTTTGCGGAGAACAGCACTATATCAGCTGTCATCTATATCAGCGCTCGTACCATAGATTTAAATTGAAGGAGAGGTATGACAATAGCCCTGATTCGTGGTTCACAATTTTCTGGAGCTAAGTAAACAAAACTGTCAAAAACTGTCATCAGTATTATCAACAGTAAATAACCGGACTTACTTACGATGAGATGGGTTAGATATTATACCAAATGCGGTAAATTAGTTTTCCATGAATCATTCTAAAAAAACTTTTAATAATCGGCAACAACATTGTCACTATTTAACAATCTAAATTCGGGACCTCACATTCTTATATTATAAATTTAAGGTTAGAACAAAGGACTTTATACAGAGCAATGTTGATTATTATTTGTAAGTACTGTATCTGAAAATTCTTATGACTAAACAGCATCTGATTGCATCCGACAGTGACAACGAGAATGCCTAGAAACAGTATCTATAAATAAATCCGAGCTTGAACACGTTTTATTACCACACACTGTATCCGATGCAACATTAAAACCAGTTATCGTCTTTTTAGATGCTGAAGTTATTAAAGGCGTTGTAAAAGCCACTGTCTGTATTCCCTTATCCGCATTAATAAACATTATCAGACCAATGACAACGCTGACCTGTGGTAATCTGGAGATTTTTTAAATCATATTCTATTTTCAAATTAGCAAACGCGTAGGACAAAGAAAGTAGACACAATTTATGGATAACGACTTCTTTATTTCACTGTCGTTTCGGTATAGATCCTTTTTTCCAGTTGCAATCCGTCAACTCAGAATGCCTATCAAACACTTAGGACACACAAGTTGTGAAGTTTACATGCCGTCTCCAGTACACACACACACACGCACACGTCGTTGCATTCTTACATTATGTAAACAGAAGCAGGAAACAGGAATTAGGGAGACATGAGCATCGCAGGTGAACATTATGCATCAAGAAGTACGATAGAATTACGAGAATCACTTGTGAGTCAAATAAAATCATGGCATATTCCTTACAAACTTAAATACTGCACAATTAGTTTTAAAACATACATTTTCATTTCCCTTTAAAATTGCATTTATTGAAACCGTTTTTGTGAAGTTTTCATCAATTTATTAACACAATTAATTGGTGCGGTTTAATGATTAGAACATTTAATGGAGAATTAGTGATTTGAAAGTTAAAAGAACAAGAAAAAGTCACTTCCGGCACGTTCAAGGAGATCAACCTTTGATATAACTCAATTGTGCCTTAATCTAACGTGCCATGTATCACAAAGCCGTTTGCAGTGCAATAGAAGACTACCAGGAAGAAAAATGTAAAAGTCTTATATAACTGTAGATCAGTTGCACTTACCAGCCATTTATCAATTAACATAGCATTTCCCAATTCAAATGCAATTTAATCTTGCAAAGAACAACTTTCAGACACTGAGATGAGGTCCTTACTTGCCATGTTCCAAGCAGGATATGCAGCAGTACACCAGTTAACATATTTGAATACGTTAATAGCTAAAGCACTCAACAGGGGTTAGGAAGTCGGTCGTGCTTGGCATACCAGCCTGGTTTACAAATAAGCCAAAATTGGATTAAGGGTACGCAATTGAAATTGATCGAATCTTATTTGCGTCGTAGAAAGCAATCAGCTGTGATTAATGGGTACGTATTTTCTGTAGAGCTACTTGGGGTCTTTAATGTTCGATGGTGGGACCCGTGCTGTTTTACTGCTTATCGCGATAATGTATCAGACATGATTTATGAAACAATTTGCCGATGATATCTCTTTGTAGTTCCACCGTTAACACTGAGCAGTTCTCTATATCAGCACATTAGGAACAAATGAAAGTCTTTAAAGGACGACATATGATAAGGGTCATATTTGTCCAAATGAAAGTGTCAAATTATAAATTTACAGAACCATAATGTTACATGTCCGTATGGCATTTTAATGTTGTTACTTGCATGTTTTGAAGTTCTGACATGATCAAGTACTCCAAAGTGTTGATAATAACGAAGTTTAATCAAAATTCATTGTGAACACGTCAGATAAATTTCAGACCAAATTCTAAAATATTTCCCTTATATCTATTATTAAATTTAGTGTTTCAAAGAGCCCTTATTATGTATGACGTCAACCCCAGAGGAAAACCAGTCTCCGAACCAGACGCCACTGGGCATAAGAGGCAAAACAGAAGCGAAACAACATGAATGGATCATAATACCACGGTGATAATACCACGTGTTCGCGAAAAGGGTAAACAATATTATACCCCATCCTTTAATTTCTTTGTACTTGTTTTTGTTTTGGAAATACACCGCATATGTCAGATTCTGTATAAAACATGCATAGTTTAAGCCATTCGTGAAACGTTACTTTAAATGCCCTTCAAACTATATTAGAGGCAGGTGGTTTAATGGCGTCACAGGTCTATGAGTCGCCTACAACATTCAATGGGGCAGACGTTGCACATTCGTCAAAGGAGACGCGATTCACTGGCAGAGTTGCAGAAACCGAGGATCATGGATTTGAATTCGCCCTGATTATGTTTCCCCACGATCGTAAATCCCATGCCATAACATGGACTTACGACAGTGTCAGCGCTAAGACGATCGTAACTCCCACACCTTATCATGGACTTACGACAGTGTCAACGCAAAGGCGATCGTCAAGCCCATACCTTAACATGGACTTACGACAGTCGTTTCGCTAAAACGATCGTAACGCACGTACCTTAACATGGGCTTACTACAGTTGTAGCGCTAAAACGATCGTAACTCCCATACCTTAACATGGACTTACGACAGTGTCAGCGCTAAGACGATCGCTACTCCTATACCTAAGCATGGGCTTACAACAGTGTCAGCGCTAAGACGATCATAACTCCCATACCTTAACATGGACTTACGGCAGTGTCAGCACTAAGACGATCGTCACGCCCATACCTTGACATTGACTTACGACAGTCGTAGCTCTAAGACAATCGTAACTGACCTTACCTTAAAACGGACGTACGTAACAATCAATATCCCCAATGAGTACTCAGACACCTGCATTTATTATATAATTGCATTTTTTCAACACCACTATCATAGCCAGGTATATATTACATATTCTTGTTCTAACATCCTGTACGTACGTTGCTGTGGTTCGTTATCAGATTGCCAGGAATTCATTATGAAGTGATAACTATTGTTGACGTCTTGAAAAGGAATAGATATATCATCATATTAACATTTACTGTATAGTACCCTGTGGAATTGTTTACAGAAATGTATAGAAATACAAGGAAATGATATTTTGACCCAATATGTATGACAGTCGTAATGCCTATAGCGAACTATGGTTATAACGAACTAAAATTAGTGGCCCCGTAGAGTTCGTTATAACCGTAATTTACTGTACATTGACGATCATTACCACATTAATATATATTTATGCTCGAAATAAAAACAGTCATGTTTAAACGGATATCGTTACGGATATCTTTGGACAGAATTCCACAACAATAAGTGGGTGACTTTAAAG